ATCAATTTTTCCGTTGGCGCAGACGCTCTAATCTTCCAACGAGCATTTTTAATCCTTCGAATAGAAGAAAGAGAGGACATCAACATCCCGCATGACCCAGAGCGTAATATCGAATGAAATGAGGGGTGGAGGAAAAAAAATTGTCAGAGACATCACGTACATTCGAGTTCGAGCCAGGGGCTAAGAAAGGAATTTATTAAATTAATTTGCCGCGTCGACGCATCTCGTAAACTTCGTAGATGACCTCACTTTATAATTGTCGTGAATTGACTTGACTGAGACGGTTAGCTTCCTTTTTTTAACCTCGTGAGAGTATGTAAACTACTCAGAAATAAAACGGTTATCAAAAAAACTACTCAGTCCACCTGAAATAATTTATTTTTCTCTCTCGAATGAACAAAAAGAGCTCCTCCCAGAGCTTGTCCCTTTCGATCACCATTAAAGTCACGATATCATTAGTCGTCTTCTCCCTATCTCCAAAAAATTAGTCGGCACGCGTTTATACCAAAGTCCTTGCGACCCAGAGCCCCCAAAACGACGAGTGAAGCACCCTGATAAGCCGAAACCACCAGATGGGAAACACCCATCCTCATGTGCCCGACACTCGAGAGGTGCCTCTCCCAAGCCCTCAAAACTCTTCAGAGTCGAAAGTGCATCCTCAAGATATATCAACCTATCTCCTCCACCCCCTCCACCAATTGCTTTCATCATTCGCCGGCATTGCACAGACTGATACCTTCAAACAAGTGAGAAATTGCTTTCGTCACAAGATAGTCAATATTTTTTCTAATAACACGGAAAAAAATATACTTGAATTGAGTATAAAATATACTTGAATCAAGTATATTCATTCTTGATTCGATTATAAAATATACTGGAATCAAGAATAATGTACTTAAATCAAGTATATTTTATACTGGAATCAAGAATAATATACTTGTTTTATGCCCCAAAAAGTGGAGTATAATTTCTCAAAAATTCTGAAATATGGGCAAAGGTAAGTAGCACATATTTCAGAATCAGAATGTAGAATTAAGAAATATTAATCAATCAAGAATACTCTGTAAAGAAGGCGATCCTACAATATATGAACAAATATCCACTCTTTTGAAAAATTATTTGGGGAGTGAATTTATTAAGTTTATACCCTTTCATTAAAATACTCCCTACAGATCAGAAGTGGAATAACCGCGTGCTTGTCTTTTTTCGTAATGATTCGACAGTGTGTAAATAAAGTTTTCGGAATCAAATCGACAAGTGTGTGCAAATGGGTTCTCCAATACCGAATGAACGCTCAAATACGTGCTCAATATTTTGAGGATTAATACTGGAAACTGAAATAGTGGTTCAGTTGCGATTAAATGTGCCGTTCAACCCTAGTTTAACCCTAGTTTGGCCGAACTACGCGATCCAACGACTTGGTCACCCCCGCGGAAATGGGCCGCTGTGTTATATTTAGCCTTTAACGTTGCCGAATTTACTGTACACACCCTGGGCGCATTTAGCGAGTTTCCGGCAACGTTGCGTGACGGGCCATTTCATTTAACGTGAGGAAAAAAAATTCTGCTGTTGGTAATCATTTATTTTCTTCTCGAATTTTGGGAATTATGTTGTTCTAAAGCCACAATTCGTACATTGTGTCATCAGGCGATAAAAGTATTATCTGACGAATGCGACTTTACAATCGGAGCCGAAGGCGAGCATTATAATCACATGAGTCAGATAATACTTTTTCGTATCACGGGACNTCAGTCCTAAGGAGTGCATTTCTCACTTTTTCACTCCTAAGTAGTGCATTTCTCACTTTTATACTGCTCAACGGTAAAAAGACCTACTTCTCATGCTTAACTACCGTCGGTAAAAGAGCCCTTTTTGGGCTTGAGCAATGAAAAACCCCATTTCCGTGGCGCTGTGTGCCACGAAATTGGCGTTTTTCAGAGCCCTCGGCACGAAAATTAATATACACACCTCCCCACGTGCTTGCCATCCTCGCCTTCGGCTCGGAAGGCAATCTTGCACGTGGGGGACGGTGATCTGTTTTCCAAGGCGCGGGCATGTAATGTACTATTATCACCGTGTGACACAATGTTTGATATCATTGGGCCCGAAAACCGCGATCTCATCGAGCGAAGCGAGTTAAACCCGGTTACCTAGTCGGGGCCTTAGTAGAAATCAAATGTCCGAGCACGGTCGCCCGGACTTTACAGGGGTGACTCTTGTATAGCATACGTGTGGCTAATGGCAGAACGTCCCCGCTAGCGCGCCCAATATACGAGACCAAATGTCCGGGCGCGCGCGTCCATCGAACGGCGCCCTGCCGGTCAGAATTTCTGCTAGGGTGGTAGTTAATTAAAAACGACGCCCTGTGCCGATTTTCTCATATGGCAACCAATCTAGGGTTAACTCTTTTGAATTCAATGATGAGCCAACATTACCCCAACGTTAAAATTTTTTACCTTTCCCCAAATATTGGTTTCAAAATCAATTTGTTTAACGACAAATCATTCAATCAATCTCATGATCAAACTCGGTCATGATGGCATTGGGAAGATTATTTTTAAATCACAATTGGATTCATTTAAACAATTGATTTTTTAGTTGACGTCGAAAAACGATCGGTTACATACGGATTCGGTCGTTTTGGTCCACCCTTCTTTCGCTCAATTACTTTTCGTCAAACGTCAGTTCGTTCCATGATGCTTTTAGTTTTTTTTTCGTCCAATCATTTTTTCGGGTAATTGTTTCAAAAAATACATCCGGGTAAATTGTGGAAAATATTTATGTAATTTATTTATGGAATCACGTGATTTTTTATGAACAAGATTACAAGTGACGATCAACGAACTTTTCTCCGAAAATATTTTGTTTGTAAAAATGGCATCACAATTGATAACAGTTGACACTCCTACCTAGTAATATTTTCCCTACACGGAGAGAAATGTTTAGTAAAAATTACGGAACTCACAATTCGCTCACCGATTACGGAATCGACTCAGAAAATTTAAGTGACGGTATCGTAATTTTTTAGAGGTGATTCAGATAAAAATTACGGAACGCTCTGGAAAAATTCCGTGATAGTTCCGTAAAATTTCCTACAACCACTATTTCGCGCCAAAATAACGGAAAAGATACGTAATTTTTATTGAATATTTCTCTCCGTGTAAAACTATCACTAGGTTTTTCCTTACCTTCTCGTGCGAATTTGAATTTTGTCTTTGATGTTAGTTATAAACCCACTGTTCGACTGGGTTTTGTATCGTGATCGCGTATAACTTTATTCTGGTTTCATTATCAATGAGCAATTGGATATGGGTTCCTCAGGTTTCTGTTTATATTTACCTATGTTTATAGTGTGTTTATGCTGTTTTCGGGTCACTGCCCCTCTAGTTTTTTATATCGGCCGAATTGATATCCCCCGTATAATGCAGTGGACGAAATGTTTTCCAGACCAAATAGTTGTTGGACGAAAAGTATTTTTGGACGAGGCGCTACTCACTCCCGAAATTATGGCGTCACTGTGTGATGAAATCAATCCAAAATCACGTTGAAATCATGTGAAATCATTCCGAAGTCATTTAATTTTTATAAATGTTTTGCCAGAGATGCGATGGTCTTTATTCCTCGTGATTTCAATTCAGTTGCGAAGTGGTAAACCGGTATAAGTCGACTAAGGGAAATAGCGAAAGTGTTGTAATTTCCTTTTTTGTGGCTCTCAATTTGCTCTACAAAAAAGGTCTATGACAAAAATTTTGCTATTTCCCTTCGATGTTGAGATATACATTGAAAACTGGGCAATAGTCAAAATCGACTTATACCGGTTTATCAATTCACTACTGAATTATTTCATTCCCTCTGAAATCACTGAGTTCGAATCTATGAAATCAGTCTAAGGCAATTGCAGTCTCACAAACACATCGCGATTCACTTGAAATAATCGATTTCATTTCTTCCCGAAATCACGGAAATCAACCCTGAAATGACGAGAAGTCGACTTCATTTCGACATCATGGTCTCACTTAATTAGGGAGTGAGTACCCTCTCGACTTTGGACGAAAAATCATTCGACGAATCCATACTCGTCATATACACACATGCATACGCATACATCCGGGCATAGTCTAAACATAGCATATTCGAACTCCTGATGCAAAAATGAGTTATCCTGACACAAAAAATAGAAAATTTCGTCGTTGACAAATACAATGCTTCCGAATGGAAGCAAAAAGTGAACTTGACACAACGTACAAGAATCCCAAATATTCAATTAAAAATCGAAGAAGAATACGAAATGTTGATTCAACATTGCCCCGGCCTCAGAAATTCCCACGACCTCCGTATCCCCTCGATTCATCGTAGTAGCATGGTAACACTATGCGAAAAAATTGTATTTCTCGTCTTCCATGCGATCGTAAGTCCTTGGCCTGGATTTAATTTTCCCTATTTTTCAGGTAAAAAGCTCTCCATTCCATCTTGAACGATAGATTGCTCCTGTATACACACGTGGGGAGAGAAATGTATGAAGAGTATTGGGTATTGGCCTAGGTGCAGGGGACAATGGGATGTCGGAACAATGAGTGAAAGGAGGAGGATTTATCCTTCAAAATGTATCTTTTCTAGTCTCCGGAAGGACACGCTCCACGTGTACATCTAACGTAGGGGAAGGAGATATCGAAATTATTGTAAAAAGGGAGAAATGGATTTTTGGGGTGAAAACTCTTAGGAAGTGAAATATTCTGAGATTCTCGGATGGAGGATACATAACGGTTTTGCTTCCCCCTCGAAAAAAAAGGAAACCCTGATTTCTTCTACCCATCGGAAATCTCTCCCCCATTCCCTTTCTCACTCTCTTTCGAGGATTTCCCATATGTTTTCGATTCGCCTTGAGAATTTATTACCTTTCTAAACCAACAGAGGGCAAAAAAAACATTAGGCATTAGTGAAAGTAAAAAATAAAATGGGCTTGACATGACTAACGAGAAACATTTGTTATATTTTTTCAGAGGATCCTGATCTCACCAAGATTTAGTCAACCACTGGGAGAAGATTAAAACTCAATGTTGAAACAATTGTACTTACTTCAGCTAGGGGAGATGGTGTATCTAATTGAACATCTTTTAAACATCGTTTATTGCCATTTGAGATGTCGTTGAGTCGAGTGCCTTCGAGACGTGACAGTAGTGGTAAAGAAACGTTTGATGTGTTTAATGAAACTGCTGGGTAATACGAAGCTTGTAAATTTCAATGAGACTTCGATACTGTGCCTTACGATGTAAGTTCAACTTTTTCCAGTTAAATTTATATAGAATATATGTATACATGTGTATATTAAGAATTTGGGATACGAGTACTTCGTAAGGGAGAGAAAGAGAGATGTTTTTTCATTAAAAATGAGCCAAAAGTCGATATTTTTAGGGTTATTTAAATATATGATATGAGAGTGTCGTTCTGTGTGATTGAAATACAGCGGACTCTTAGTGCCTTCGCGCAACGATATGCGTTCCGCTTAATATGTATTTTTGTAGTTCAACGATTACGACAATATCAGAGGAGATGCGTCACCGATGGGAGTGGGAGGGGTGGAAAATATCATGTATACGAATAGAAGAGGAATTCATTAGCGGTGAATATTTGACACTTAATGGAGAAAGCTGTCTTAATGGTAAACAGTACTTATGCTTGCTCAAAAAGTGCATTTCACGGTTGCAATAATTTCTCCTTTTTCTCGCTGAATATTCAACAGTCGATTGTTTATACAGTTTTGAAACCTTATCGATGACGCCTCGAATTCCTCGTGAGACACAATCAAAAATTGTATATATCAGTGCCTTAAATTGGTTAAGAGAATTAATTACTATTTAAGAGACTATTTTTTGTACTTGTAATTTTTGTCAATTTTGGATATTTAAAATACATTTATACTATTTATGATGATATCTGTTCGATTATTTTTATTATTTCTCCCGTTTTTATGGATTTGAAAGGGTAAAAGAAGCAGGAGTGCATGTTATCTAAAAAAATGTTTAGGTAATCACAATAAATTCGGTAATTTTCTTATTCGATGAAATTAGTTATGTCTGATGATAACCCAGCCAACCCCCTTCATCCGTTGTTTAAACAATTTTTTCCCCATTTTTGAAAATTTTTTAGAAAAAATTTAGTCATGAATGCAATGATTCCAACAAAAATTCAAATATTGTAAGTGAAAATTCTACAAGAATATAATTTCCACTGGATTTATTGCCTCTGTCACACGAGTTTCGACAATAATTTCAGAAAATCTAAATTGCTGTATGTTTACAAGGGCTCAGAAATAATTCTTGAAAAATTTTTCTCTCCGCCGTTAGAAATTTTCTAGCGACAGTTCAACTAAAATTTCAAGACATTTTATAATTGAAAATTAATAACTTGATGAAGTAATGAATAGAAACTGTAAATTTCAATTCAATTGTTCCATGGAAATTAATAGGAATCAGGCAAATTGAACGTAATTTGCTACTGAATATTCATAATTAGAGTATTATTTAAAATACATTTATCCTATTTATGATAACATCTGTCTAATTATTTCAATTGTTTCTTCTATTCATCAGTAATGGTTTTGGATGGGGAAATGGGGTGGGAGTGCATGCCACGTAAAAAAAATGTTTAGGTAATCAAAATAAACTCGTTAATTTTTCTACCCGATGAAATTGATTATGCCTGGATAATAACCCAGTCAACCCCCTTCACCCGGTGTTTTAACAATTTTTTACTCATTTTTGCAAAATTTTTAGAGAAAGTCTATTAACAAATTTAATAATTCCAATAAAAATTCAAATTTTGTAAGTGAAAATTCTACAAGAATATAATTTCCACTGCAGTTATTGCCTCTGTCACGTGAGCCTTGAGAAAAATTACGGAAAGTCCAAATTGCTGTACCTTTACAGAGATTCAGAAATAATTCTTGAGAAATTTTTCTCTCCACCGGTAGAAATTTTCAAGCGACAGTTCAACTAAAATTCCGACAGATTTCTTAATTGAAAATTAATAACTTAATGAAATAATGAGAGAAATTAGAAACTGTAAATTTCAATTCAATTATTCTATGAAAATTAATCGAAATGAGGCAAATTGAACGTAATTTGCTACTGAATATTCTAAAATTCTAAAATACATTTATCCTATTTATGATGACATCTGTCTAATCATTTCAATTGTTTCTTCTATTCATCTTTAATGGTTTTAAATGGGGAAATGGAGTGGGAGTGCACGCCACCTAAAAAAATGTTTAGGTAATCAAAATAAATTCGTTAATTTTCTTACCCGATGAAATTGGTTATGCCTGGATGATAACCCAGCCAACCCCCTTCACCCGTTGTTTTAACAATTTTTTCCTCATTTCTGTGGTGCACGAGGGTCGATTTCCGGTTAGTCTCCACGCAGGGGGTAGCACCGCTATTCTCGCCACGTCACTTCCGTTTGTCGAGTATTTCCGGCCGTTATAGACAGCGTCGTTTACTGACCTGCAATCTAACTGCCACCCCCTCACTTATATTCAACCCCATTTGATGAACAGCACAAATGCAATCTATTCTCGAAATTCTATATTGAAAGGGAAAATAACCGGTAATTTCAGGTTTTTTCTTTCGTGTCGATTTACCCCGAATCGTTTTGTTTGTTTTTTTCTCGACTAGGCGAGACGCTTCACGCGCTCTAGCCAGGTTGCATGAGATCGATATATGTTGTCATTTTTCAAATTCTAATTCCCCTGATTTTTACGTTCCACGAAAACAAATACCCTCTGAAATGGTATATGAATAGTTTCATTCACTTTGCCAATAATTATAGAAAAATACCAATCAAGCTGAATTAGAAATAAACATCATGAAATTCAAATTTTGAATAAAAATTCCCATATGTTAATAAAAATTAGCCTTAATTAAATAATTGAGGGTCTATTTCAAGGTAATTTGATACATTTTCACCGCAGCATAAGATATCCCCACAGATTTAAACAGAAACCGCGCAAATCTCGTCATTATGAGGGAAAATATGGAAATTTTCAAAACGTGGCATGCTAAAATCGCTACCGTATCGTTTATGACAATTGATCTAGTGGACGGAATAGATAATACAGGATATCAATTTGAAGATCTCAATGAGACCTTCAAATGGACACGTCATATATTCCTGCTGGTCAAATCTAAAGCCTCAATAAACGGGCAAGACAGTCATTTCTGAGATGTGACTTAATGTGAAAAGGAAAAAATCTACAATAACTTGATGAAAATTCAATTAAATCAGATTTATCATGTACTATTTTGAGGAATAGTAAATACTCTTCAAAATGATATATAGATATCCCTGCCTAGTCCACTTAGGAGCATCGAAAATCCGACCAAAGTTATTTTTTCAAGTGAAACATGAAAATTCAATTTTCGCCTAAAACTCTCGTAAGTCGATGAAAATCGGACAGAATTGGACAAAACAGGTGTAAGCTTGAAGTTTATTCAATAAGTTTTTGAATGAGTACATTAAGTGGATGATTTATGAAAAAGGAAGAAGGACCTGAGCATAGAAACTAAAGGAAAAACCTTGGTTACGGACACGAATATTCCTACACTGAGCAAAAAAAATTTTTTTGATACGCACGTCTTCACTTGTATCAAGAAACTCATGGCTTGAAAATTGACAAGAAGAAAATATCTCGTACTGAGGAAAAAAACTTTCGTCAAGAGATTTTGCACTTGTTCCAAAGGCGAGGATAATTTGTCTATCACAAGAAAGAGATTTCTCAAACTAAATCTGGAAGAATCAATTTATTCAACAGTTTTTAAGTTTCAATTAAAAGTATTTTAATGCAAAAATCACTTGACTTGGCTCGAGAAATCGTTTTCTTGTTGTGAACAAATTGCCCCTCATCTTTCGGACAAGTATAAAATCTCTGGACCTTTTCTGAGAAGCCTTTTCTCAGTGCGAGATATTCTCTTCTTGTCAATTTTCTAGCCATGAGTTCCTTGGTACAAGTAAAGGTGTACTTCAAAAAAAAACTTTTTCTCAGTGTAGAGGGGATGTTGGAGACGTGACTAAAACAAATAGCAAAGAGATTGATTGATATACTGCATCGACCTCTCCATGTAATCCACCGGATGCCCGTCAATTTTGAACATAAATGAGATTCTGAATAGATAATCAGGTGTACATTGTTGACCCCGTAACTTTTTGAAAACTACGGGAATATTGACCTTCGCCGAATCTTTCCTTGATGGCTGATTGATCTTGTAGTTCATACATGAGGAAATGAGGAAATAAGATTCTGGTGTTTATAATTGAGGTTCACTGAATAATTCAGTGGAGACAAATCGACAGGAATCATGTGATTGGAATGGAACACCAACAACAATATTCACTTACCTACTGCAATGAAGATACCATTGACCTAATCACATACAATTAATTATGATTCGAAGTGACTCTTCAAACGAGTGAACGTGAGTGATGAGTAACTCCATTGATTTAATACCGATTTCTCGGATATAAAAATGTCGAGCTTTATGAATTTCGTTAATACGTAATGACCCCTTTTGGCAGGTGACAAATTCCTCGACGAGCAATCACTTAAGGCACCCACATGAACACCCAGTGCAATGAATAATGCATTATACTCGTCAAAAATCGAGTACATTTCCGCTGATTGCTTTTACCATCAAATCAATGCATAAAACATAGTTGCGTTGATGCAGTCCAAGTGATATTTACAGCTAAATTTGGAGATTTTCAGTGATGAAGTTCTCTAAATGTGAATGTCCAAGTATTTTAGTCATTTTTTTCATCGAAATCCCTTCCAACATTTGTAGTTGAACTGCAGGTTACCCTCTATTTTGTGATTATTTTATTATTTAAACTTTTAGAGTGTAATTTGATTAAATTTTAAACCTTTGGGAAACATTTAGAAAATCGGTAAAAAATAGGAAAGTCCACTTGTGCAGAAAGATTTGTGGAAATTATTGATGAATAATCAATTTTTCGGGTTTTGAAGCTTTCGCGGCCAATATTATTATTCATTATGATGGCTTCCGGATGGATGCCGCGTCTAGATTCAGTTTTTTGCCGACGTTTCGCAAATATTTCAGTCTGGATTATCAGGGCTAGGTTGCTCCGATACACCATCAGAGCATCCATCCGGAAACCATCATAATGAATAATCAATTTTTCGATTTGACAATCATCTTCCTGAGTCATAAATTTTTTTTCGCATGCATTCATTATTAAGAAAAAGGAAATTTTGGAAAGAAATGTTTTGAAGAGTATAATGTAAATGACACTAATTATTCATTATTTTTTATAAATTGCACGAGTGAACGGCGAGAATTTTATAAAACTGCAAGCGGTACTTCAATATGAAGTAGTATTTAATATGTATCATCTGAAATGACATTTCAATATTGCCTTTTTGCAAATAACTTACGGAAATTGTTTAAACCTCAGGCAACCGTATTTTTATCATTGAGTAGATTCTTCATACATTCAGAACTTATTACAAGTTTGAAGAAAATGATTTCTAGGATCTTTACTGTTAATCAAATATTCATAATTTGTTTTCGATGAAAGCAGCCCTTAAAATTGTAAAATGTGTTCCAACGGTTCCAGATAGGAACCCAAATCGAGGCTCCGATAAGTTTATTAATAAAAAATAACTCCCTCCCTTAGAGTCGGGAAGTTAATAATTGCCGTCTGTTCTCAATGACCCAGTTTAAATATCAAAAAACATTTTCACGAAAAAAAAATTCCAAAGCATTAGAATACCTCCACACACCATTCAATCATCGGAACCGATGACAAGCAATCATGCATACAAACGTAGACTAATACGACACACTCTTTTCTTCACAATGTAATTACTCATTCGCCACCGTCAAATCGTCAATTTTTCCTATATTTTCGCCGATTGAGCCGACACATTGCAATTTGCGATGCAAAATGAATTCGTCGAGGGGCAAGGTTACTGCATACGTAAAAATTATACATATGGAATATTTTTGCAGACATACCGTGGTTATAAAAGTATCAAACAGATTGGGAAAAACTTCATTGTGTGCCGTGACTGGGAAGCGTGACAAGTTGGAAAAGTTTCGAATTACTGATAACCAAAGGTGACTGGGCAATTTGTGATCAATTTAGGATAGAGCCAATCTTCAACACTGGATAGCGAACGTTCAGCATCACACAAGAGAAGAATTAAGAGAAGGAGACGAGTCTGTCGTTGTTGCTCGATAGTGTACGCAGTTTGTCATAGTGTTTTTAATACAATAAAAAAATGGATGCAGTACCTGTTGCCGCCACTTCGTCCTACTTTGCGACGAGCCTCTTTTACCCCCTTGTCTTCATCGTCGCTGGTCTTTGGGCACTCCACTGGTATATCGAGAACTTGAGGATTGTGCGGATGGGAAACAAGTTGCCTGGTAAGTTCTGAAATTGGTGCAAGTTGTGGATGACTACTCATATTTCATTGTTAATAGTTTCCAATCGCTATGTCGAAAATGACTGTAATGTTGTGGTTTGTATTGGCAATTTCATTATGAATGTCATAAGGATATCATTAGGAGATCGCTGAATCCTGAATTATAGATGAAAACTAAGACTTGAATTGTTCACACGGTAAATTTCTTTGCTGCATATAGAAAGTTACATTATTATTAAAGTTTTCATAGCCATGAGAAAGAAATTACATCGATGAATTACTGGTCGTAAACAAGTTTGAAAGGTCTCAACTTCTGTGAATTTAGGACCAAAGACAGTTCCTTTCTTTGGAAATGCTCTGCTCGCTTGGGGAGTTGCGCCGGAAGATGTGTTGGGTGAGGTGATGAAATACATCCACTATGGTAGAGTTATCAGAGCTTTCCTGGGTACGAAACTCGTTGTCTTTCTGATTGACCCCAGAGACGTTGAGATCATCCTCGGGAGTCACGTGCATCTCGACAAATCCGAAGAGTACAGGTACTGTTTCAATTCAATTCCCATTCTCTGGAGATGAAAATGATTTAGTTTGCGGTTGACGTTATTCATTGTAATTCTGCAGATTCTTTAAGCCATGGCTTGGCGAGGGTCTTCTCATCAGCACCGGAGAGAAATGGAGGACACACAGGAAGATAATCGCCCCCACGTTCCACCTCAACGTCCTCAAAACTTTTGTCCCGCTGTTCTACGAGAACAGTCTAGATTTGGTCAACAGACTGAAGTTGGAGGTTGGGAAGAAATTTGATATTCATGATTACTTGTCTGCGGTGACTGTTGATATTCTCCTGGACACTGCCATGGGTGTGCGAGGCGGAAAGAGAGAAAAGACTGGATTCGATTATGCCATGGCTGTAATGAAGTATGAATTTTTGGTTTTTATCCATCCGTTGCAAGAAGTGAATAGTTGCTGATGGAGTTTCTTCTCAACAGGTTGTGTAATATTGTTCATCAGAGGCAGTACAACTTCATGCTTCGTATGGACCCAGTTTTCAAGTGGTCAAAGTTCGCGACGAAGCAGGAAAAACTCCTGAGCATTATCCATGGACTGACCAGAGGTATTATGGACAAGAGGAAGATGGATTACGAGGAAAAGGGAGAGGAGGCTTATCCCGAGGAGCTCAGGCACGGCAAGACTGTTGATGCGACAATAAAGGAAGAGATTAAGTCATCTAAGATGAGATATGTGAGGGATGATCTGGATGAGATTGATGAAAATGATGTCGGTAAGCAGAGTATTTATCACAGAATTAATTATTCATCATAAATTATTTGCACATGGAACTTCAGTTTTCTAGAGTAAAAATACTAACGGATAATTTTGTCACTTCCTGTTGATGTTTTCAAATTGGATGAAATTTTTGATCTTTTTTTCTTGCTTTCAGGTGAGAAGAGACGCTTGGCCTTCTTGGACCTCATGCTAGAACTCTCGAGGAATGGAGCCAACATGACTGAAGATGAGGTTCGAGAGGAGGTTGACACCATCATGTTCGAGGTTACTTAACATTAAAACTACTTTGTTGCCTAATTAAGAATTTCATATTTTTTTCTAATGTTAGTTCGTCCTCAGGGTCACGACACCACAGCTGCTGGCTCCAGTTTCACCCTCTGTGTCTTGGGGATTCATCAGGACATTCAGGTAATGTAACTCATCTCTATTTTAATGTTTTTAAATAGGCAATCATGTCACTCCGGTCGTTCGCCTTCTTCAACCCAGCGAAGACCATTTTCGTCCCTGGGACTGATTTCTTCGGCTGCTCGAGGTATTCACTGAGAGTTGATTCGTTCCAAGTCACTCCTTTTTTCTTCATTGCGTCGGAATAACTAAAACCAGCGGTGGCTACAATTGGAATCGAAGAATCTCACAATTATATTTCGATTTGAACTGTTCACGTATGAACAAAGTTTATAGAGAAATCTAGAGAATTCGGTAGAAAATAGAAATTTCCATTCGTTGTTAATCAACTTCATTGAAACATTCAGCAGCTTATCTACGTATTTGTTAATCAATCGAATACGTCAAAAACAAAAATTTCATTAGCGTTTTTAGCTCCAAATAACCCCGCCCGTTACCCTCATGATATCATCATGATAACACCCCGTATTCACAGATTTTCTACAAAAATGCGTCGATTCAAATTTCCCAAGTGTTTTTGTGTCATTTTTCAAAGAAAGAAGAACAATAGAACGGAAAAAATCGGAAATTCATGTCGAGGAATTCTTATAGAAAATATCTCAATAAAAATAGTGCTATAGACAGACGAAGTTCTACTGATTCTTTCTATAAAATACATTCTATTCGACATTTCTTATTAAAAAACGCGCAGGAACATTGCGAAAATCTAGAATTGAATCGAGAAGAAACTAGTAGAATTACTACTACTAGTTCGATAGAAATTGGGACGAATTTTTTAACCAATTCACTAGGTTTCTTCATGAAGTTTTTGACATCACTCACTTCCAGCAACTCTTCCGATAACCCCAAATAAATTGGGTCCAACCTTATGTTTACCGCCTGCATCAACAGTATGACAAGTCGCACACATCTTGACGAATAATTTCTGTCCATTCGCAGCATCACCCATCTCTCCCCATTAATTTAACCTCGTCCAATCAATTTATAAATTTTCTCCATCAACATTCTTTTATTTCATCCAACCTGAAAAAAAGGAAGTTCAATAATTGCCATTAATAGGAGCGTGTTATGGAAGAGCTGGACAGTATATTCAAGGGATCAGATCGTCCCTGCACCTTTCAAGATACACTCGAGATGAAGTACCTGGAGCGTGTGATTATGGAATCATTGAGAATGTTTCCACCCGTGCCAGCAATCGCCAGGCACCTCAACGAGGACGTCAAGCTTGGTAATGATTTCAATAATAAAATCACTCCGTCACTTCCATATTTCATTTGTAAATGAGAATAATTTGAATAATCGTTACATTAAATTATTTCAGCGTCCGGTGATTATGTGTTACCACGTGGTACCACGGTGATTATTGCACAGTATCAGATACATCGTCTTGAGGAGTACTATCCGAATCCTGAGGTCTTCGATCCTGACAGGTTTTTGCCGGAAAATACACAGACCAGGCATTACTATGCTTATGTTCCCTTCAGCGCTGGACCAAGGTGATAGAAAAAAACATTACTCAATTATTTTTCTACAAAAATAAAGCTCATCATTTTTTATTCATAATTTTTGTACATCTCTTTGGTTACAAAACTTAGCAGGGAACTTGCATAATTTTTTTTTTACATAATCTCAAATTTGGAACCGAAATGAGTGATTTTGTGATACCCGCCTGAAAAGTTCACTTTTCTAAACCATTTAGTGTGCGTAAAGTGCTTGTTTTACGCACGGTGTGCGTAAATTTCAGAGGTCTTGCGTAAAGCTTCGTTTTACGCGCTCGAAATTCACTTTACGCACTAGTAACACAATATACTATTTTTCGTTTACAGATGTTCGAAGTATTACTCATTAATTAAAAATTAATTGTTCAGTTATTCATATGTTATGAAGAATGTGTGAATAGGAGAATCGGATTGGTAAATTCAAACAGCAAAAATAATTTTTTTATGTAACGAAATGATGAAATTGTAAAATCAAGAAGTTATGCCTGATGAAAAAACGTCTGCATTATGACTTGACAATATTTCGTATGCGGAGGTTGTGGTGTGACGCACAGCGTACGTGAAGCGCTGCCATTCGGCCGGAAAAGTACTCCGTTATGCACTCGTAACTTCATACGCTATTTCGTAAAAATTGTCGAAAGAATATTTCGTCTGACTTTTACGTTTTGTCAGGCAATGTTTGCTGAATTTTATCATCCGTATCGATATGAAGATAGTCGTGTCCAGTATTTTTCATTCAATTCGTATATGCAGCCATACAAAAATTGCATGCAAACCTCGATCAGAAAGAACAGAACTGCATGCAAATTCCCTCAAATTTGCTGCTGTAATGATATATAACGGCAAATTATCAAATAGAACATAACATGAAAGTGGATAATGAATTACAATAATTAAATTTGTTCCTAGATCTTGCGTCGGCCGCAAATACGCAATGTTGAAGTTGAAAGTACTCCTCTCCACAATACTAAGAAACTACAAGATTCTCTCCGATCTGACCGAAGCGGATTTCCGGCTGCAATTGGACATAATCCTTAAACGCGCAGATGGCTTCCCAATCTGGATCGAGCCGCGAACAAAAACCACGACTGTTATGTAAATGTCCATGATTGAAAATAATAAATTCTTAATATTAGTTTACGGAATTGGGTTTTTCTTGTTTTCTTTTATTCCGATAGTAGGCTGTTAATTCTATTGCCCATGGCAGGATAAATGCACAATTCAGGGCGATTAGGGCCAGCTGGCATACGGCAAAACTGCCGGTCAAATCCTTGATGATACCTGCAAAATTGTCGATAGAAATAATTTTGTTTCATTCTATATTGCAATGAAATTTTCATGAACGTTCTTGAGTTTTGATAGAAAGAATGGGAATTTCCTTATATTTTCCCCATAAAAAATTTCATCCGAAGGAGTTTTTACATGTCTTACGAAAATTCTTCTAGGATAATTAAAAAATAATAATACGTGAATGTTCGATTAAATAATATGGAAGTAAACAACAACAAAAACATATATTCTACATACCAAAAATGGGATTGGTTATGATGAATGTCAGTCCACTGATCATCGAGTAGATTCCATAGCAAGCGGCATATTTGTGCACAGGGTAATTTTCAACTATTACCAGAGATTGCGGAACAAATATGAAAACTCGGACAGCTCCGATCAGCGCCATAGAGACCATGATACCCGTTAACGTTGATTCTAGATTGAAATACGCTGAGAAATCCAAGAAAAATTGGATTAATTTATCCCAAATTGATTGCAATATAACACGGAGGTAACTTATGTTCTCTCACCGAGTTTAACGACTGCCATAGCAATCATGGCCATAAACACTAACATTTTGGCCCTGAATTCGATGAATATCGTCAGTATTGTTAGGAAGATTTTAGCAACAAACTCTGCTGCGCAAGAGATGGCCACTACATATGATGCGTCCCCAGTTGTGTACCCTCTATTGAACATTGCTAGGGGCAGCAACGAGGAGAATATTATATCACTCGAGATAGCACAACTCACGCCAAAACACATGATGATGAAGGTGCAGTCTTTGAGGATTGAAAAGTCAAACAAGTCCAGAATCATTTCTCTGGAAAATGCAGCGATAATCATATTAAATTTAGTAATTCAGATAGAAGTGGAGTAGTAAACCGAGATGAATCAATTTCAGGGTCCAGTTTTTGCTGAATATTTCAAAGTTGATGGGAGATAGCAGAATTTTCTCAAACGAGCCGGTACGAGAAAATTTCATGGAAAAAATCAATAGAATTTTATGTTCCTATTTAATTTGTTCTATGGAAATATGGTCGATAGAAATTCTCCCCCTTAAATTTTCCAAGTTTTCTGTTGTATTAATTTCATTTCATTTTAATTATTAATTTGAATTATTAATTGTATCAAAAATCATCACAAGTTTTCTGTTGCATTTCCTTAATGCGAGGAAGACAAAAATCCGAGTCAAAAAAACTTCGGAAATTTATGTCGGGAAATGTTTATGGACAATATTTTAATGGAATCGGTTGTATGGAACATCAGAGCACTATTCAGGTAGGTAGACAAGAAGTAACGGGCACACCCTCCAAATTTTACCCTCAAAATTCCACCTTTACCATTCAACCCTCGTCATGTTACCTTTATGATTTTCTCGCTTTCCGCTTTCCGTTATTACGATTTAACCCTTGCAAATATACCCTTCAGATTTTACCCTTGTGATTTCACCCCTATATTCCTATACAACGGAGTTGTGAAAAATAAATGTAAATGCTCCTATGTGTTGAATAAATATTCGCGTCAGTCTTTTAGATTAATGTGAGTTTGTCTTATGCCTTTTTTCCCGCAAATTTATTTGATATTCATCTTACATATATGTCACATATTTTCTCCGGCTATATATTTTGTCTATGAGGAACATAAAATAAGCTTCGAACCACCGCTTGCCGGGGCTTGGGTATCGAGCTCCGCCATGCCAATGTGCGGCCCACACTGGGCTAGATCTGTCAACCAAGGCTCGCTTACCCGCCCCTCTCCCAAGACTCAAGCAATGGTCCCCAGGGATGGCTGAACCTCGGACCAAGCTTGTTTGTCAAGACTGCGCAAGTCCAGGCTTGTGCCATACTTGGCCCGTTTTTTCAACACTGGCATTTCCTATCTGGGACTGACAAAAAAAATTTATATCACTGCGTGCAAAAGTCAATAGTCACAGACCCGTCTTATTGCACGGGTGATATAAATCCCATTGATTGTTTCGGAGATGTTTTTCTATGCGTGAGATCTTTGAGAAAATTCCCCTTGTCTTCCTCAAATTCGGAGATATTGACCAAAAAATTCACCTGCTTTGGAGTGAACTTGACTCATCTGACTTTACCATTTCGCTACTGAATAAGTCTTTCAAGCTCTTTCAAATTGATATCCTACGTAAATCCTTGATCTCCTTCACATTCGACTCTTCCATTCGACCCTGCAATCAGGTTCTCCCTCTCTTTGAGTATCGTTACAGTCTTTTCGTTATGAAAGTCAGTCGGAGTTTTCAGCGGATGTTTCTTTCGTAACTGCATTTCCGCTATTGCAACACCAAGATTTCCTATGCTGGAACTGGGAGAGGATAGAACTGAGGGTCCCCGCACTGGTGTTCTTGAGATTGAGTTTACTCGTGACCTTGGGTCTCTTATCAACGCAACATCAGAGCTTGACGCAACTTTCGCCTGAAACTGGATTTTTGCAGAAAAAAATTTGACACATTCTTTTCGATTCAACTAAGTTATCGGAACATAACCGATAATTTCGGAACAACCGGGGTATTATTACTGAAAATTCAATGAAATCTCGACGTTTTGAACGACTAGAAGACACGAATTCTCGAATTTACCTGCAATTTCCTGATTTCTGTCAATTTTTATGGAATGACTGAACTGAAATTTACAGTTTTCATTGATCTTGCCGTAAAATTTCGAGTTTTTCACACTGAGAGAAATATTTCCTAATATTTAGACTCTATTTCCTTGAGAGAAATAAATTTTCTTTACTGGCTTAAATCGCAGAATATTTGCGCTTCACGGAAGTTGAGTAAGTTTTCATTTATCACTATCGTTCCGCGTGATATCATGAATATATTATATATCGAAACATTGGAAGTGCATAAAAAAAAATCATGAAAACAGTAACTACTTGAAGATTGACGATTCTTCTACGCGCTTTGGGTGAATTCATGTGTAACAAAATCATACTTGAGTACAAAAATATTTGAACCCGTCATGTACAGCGTTGATACCATGTATCGACCCATGAAAATGTGAATGACTCTCTTCGAAATTGATTATTTCTAAACTATGGAAAATAACTCAATGGAAAAAGGAATACTGTAGCTTCAATTACATATTGGTTTCATAATTTTCCATTGATTAGAAGTTATCTAATTCTAGTTGTGTCAAACGTACAAAATGCTTGGATCCAAAAGGGCCGGGTCCGTAAGGGGTTAAGGGGTAGCAGAATGCCGCTAATTTTCCAAATTTTTGAACAAATTTTCTGCGGAAATTTATCGATATTTTTACAAATCAAAGCACATTAATCTCCAGGAAGCGATGATAAAGATCAATGTACTTTGGGTTCAAAAAATATTGATAAATTTGAGCACGAAATTTGTTTGAAAAGTTCAGGGAAACATTGGTCTTCTGATTCCCCTTAAAGCATGAGAACTTTCTTGGGCCACGTAATTGGCGACACCTGGGCGAATTGAGCGGTTGAAGAAAAATTACGTGTCCCAAGTAAATGGTCCAGATATTAGGTTTTTTTTTCTCAGTGCATGACAAAATTTCTTGAAGTTTAAAAGAAACTATTACGTGATAAAAATTTAAAGGAAATATACTGAAAGTTTCTGCGAAAAATTTCTAACAATGTAGTTAGTATCAAGAATCCTAAAAAATTAGCGCTAGATTTCTAAAAATTAAGAAATGATTCCTAAAATTTTGGGTTCATCCCTAGAGACTAAAATATTTCTCTGCTCTATGATGGCTGAGTACCTTCAAAGTTTCAGTAAGAAGTGTGTGGTAACCCGAGCTTTCTCTAAGATTTCCAAGACTACTCCATCGACTATGTTCAACATTCAACTTTTTTTCCTTAATCATCGAATCTTGTGCATTCATTTCAACATCTTTAGATGTATCACTCATTGCACTTTTTTCTTGGGATAATGTTCTGCGTATTGTAGCTCGCCTCTCGGCTAGTACTTCTTTGGGGTCCCTCAGATACCATTCAACAGGATGCATCAGCAGCATTCCGAAAACACTGTGGAAACTTATAGCACCGGCTAGAGCGATTGTACCTACAACCAACACAGGACATAGAGCTTTTATTGAATGGAAGCCCGTGATTTAAATCTCAAACGTTATTTTTTCGTTCAATAATTACATAACTTTTATCGTCCACTGATAGAACGATTCATTCATTGCCAACGAGGTTCGTTAACTATTAACAAATGGTAGAGTTGAATATGACCAAATGAATATTTTTTAATCGTTAATGAATGGGCCAGTGGAAAGATCAAAATCTACACGGAGAGAAATGTTCAGTAAAAATTACGGAACTCACAATTCACTCACCGATTACGGAATCGACTCAGAAAATTTGAGGGACGGTATCGTAATTTTTCACAGAAGATTCAGATAAAAATTACGGAACCCTCCGGAAAAATTCCGTGAAAGTTCCGTAAAATTTCCTACAACCACATTTCGCTCCGAAATGGCGGAAAAGACGTAATTTTTATTGAATATTTCTCTCCGTGTAGTCGAACAAGGCTTCCCAAATGCGCATTTGTTAACTATTACGATTATTAGAACTTGGCGAGACCAAATCGACCCCAGCCTTCATCAAATTCATTTCTTAACAATAAATAATCCTTTCTGTCAGTGTTTGAATAGACTGTTAGAAAAAAGATTCGATAAATCTTAAAATTCGTGACCACATCTTGCATTAATTTGGAGAATTCCGACAGGTCGCTATTAAGATCGCTAAGGTGAACGTCGGCCTGAGTAGTACTTTGTCCGGCGAAGCGGGCACGTATGAAAAAATCGTATAGAAATTTTCTATACGGATTGCGTATAGAAATTCTATAGGATTTTCGTATATGATATTCGGATATTCCTATACGAATATTTTCTGTACATAAATTTTTACATAAATTTTTATTTTCATACGAAATATGTCTAAACGCTCCAGAGAAAAACGTAGAGAAATGTCGCAACTCCTATAGAAATCGTATAGAAATAATTTGTATACAAAATATCCGTATAGAAATATTCGAATATCATATACGAAAATCCTGTAGAAATTCTATACGCAATTCGTATAGAAAATTTTTATTCGATTTTTTCATACGTGCGGGCCGGGCAATTCGTACGGAAAGTGCGTAGAATGGTGGAAACCCGCACGGAAAATACATATATGAGACATATGCATCAATTATGGCCGCATATATGTACACGTATATATTCAACATATATTTCGAATATACAGAATTTTTTGCCAAAAATATATTCAAAGTATATCGAACACCTATCCCACATATAATTGTTCACATATATATTTTTTCCGTGAGGGAACGCCCATTCAACTCAGAGGGTTAATGAATTTAAATCTCTGCGAGATATTACATATAATATTATGGATGCTAACGTAGATTTACAAGTCATCCCATCTGGCACTTTTCCTCATGAAGCACTGCTAATTTAAAAAATTATCTAAATTAAGGTATTAAAAATTGGATTAAAAAGCATGTGATAAGGAATGTGTAATCCCCGAAAAGCCTCAGTGTTATGAAAACTTGTAACTCATTTTTTCGAATCCATGTGTCCCCGGATTTTTCAATTTGTGCCTTGATAATTGATTATTTATTTGCCTCATATAGAGGTCGTAAAAGGGAATGGATTGTATATATCATCCCTCGTTAACCCTTCAAGTACGGCGCCCGAAAAAATTTTGATTTTCAATGACAGGGCATCAAAAATAAAGCGCGCTGAAAAAATTATATGCGTTTCAGGAGTTAAATTATAATAAACCTCACAGAAAAGGCTTTCAGCCGACGTTTACTTAAATTGTCACGTAATTCTGAGATTTATCTTCCGCAAAAGAGACCTAAAAATAAACGCTCGAGTCTTCCTTCATACCTCGGAATCCGAAGACCTGTATCATTTCACCTACGATGATGGGATATAGAACGCCAAATAAACTCATAATAATTTGACTGGCACTCATCACCTAAAGTGCAAAGAAAACAACTGAGAAAACATTAGAGAAACCTCAACGTGAATTGAGATTCATAAAAAAATGTTAAATTCTTACAGTGGCTCGTCTCTTGACGAAATAAGCATTGAAATTTGACTGACAGATTGTCGCCATAATGCCTAAACCAATACCCTGAGCAAAGAAGGTAATTCCCAACTGATAAACATCCACTACCACCGCAGGGATCGTCGAAAAGATGGAGAACACCAGCGCACCGCAGACACCAACCAATCTCATTGGAAATTTTTTCAATAATACGTTTGTACAGAGTCCTAGAGAGATATTTCTGAAGTAATTACTTTGAAAACATCTAATACACGTGAAGGTAATTAATGTTTTGGTACCTGATAACGACCAGCTGATTGTCCATATCATGTTGAGAATTGTCATCGATGCGCCAGGGGAACCACTGGACTCCAGCAATTCTCCAAACATAATGGGAATGCATGGTACTGTACTAAACATCACTGTCTGCACAGAAAAATGTGTTCTTCTTGAATTAATTGACATTGTCTTGTTTTGAGAATGCGCGTGCGAAAAAATTCTATAGAAAAACCTAGCGAATTCACTGTAAAATAATACTAGATTTCTATTGAACTTTCTATTAATTTTTGGCCGATTTTATTGGAAAATTTCACAGCTCATCTGCGTGTTTATTTTTAATAGAAATGTTCGATGGAGAATATTCAATGGAATTCGATTTTTCTATACAACTTTATCTATTCACAGATTATCTATAGAAATTCCTCGACAGGAATTTTCTAAACTTTTTTGTTCGGTTCTTCTAATGAGAAGAGAAAAATACAGCGGAAAAAACTTCGGTATTTTTTACAGCGGAAAAAACACCGGAAAAGTCACGACAGAAAAATTCGTATAGAAAGATGAAATTCAACTCATTTTTTTCTATAAAATAGTTTCTATTGGAGATTTTCCATAAAAAAAGATGAAGTTAAGAATATTCAATAGAAGTTCAATAGAAATCCAACAAAAATTTGCAGGCGGGTTCGTTAAGATTCTTCGAAAATCTTTTTGTGCGTGTGATAGCACAGAATATTCAAATGACAGAGGAATCTCCTTTTAAATTTAAAAAAACAAGATCCATTTTGTCCTAGTAGTGTTTAAAATTAATTTGGTAGATATTTTGAAAACCATTGATCAGAAATCAGTTATTTTCTTCTGTTTCTTCTGTCATTCTGTTCTCAAATGGGACAAATTTTTTTTAGATTGAGAGCAACGTTATCATTCTTCTTATTGTGAGACAGAAGGATCACATTTAATTCTAAATTTGCGGGAATATCATATTTATTGGATTAAATTACTTATTCGTTACTCACAAAAGTGATTGTCATTCCCAACGCGACCATCCACCCCCATCCACCCTCCGGCGCAAGATCCTCCTGTGTCAATGGCTCTTCATCATCCCTAGCTTCAGCTCTCATCAACTCACTCTTCAGAACTTTTCTCAAACTATGTCGTTGCAATATCTCCCCGGGAGCATCGAATTCTCCATTCCCAATGTTGGTGGACATTGCCCACACCGAAGCTTGAATCACCACTCAAACGTGAATAATGTCACTCGATTTCCATTCACTAATCGGAAGCTAATGAAGCGGCAGTGTCTCTCCGCGTTCTGCTCCGCACTGCACATAAATACGCAGCGTAAGGTAAATCACACGACTTGACAATTGACTAAACACATTTCTTATCATATGTTGGAAGATGCTTGGGTATGATTTTCTCTCGCTTTTTATTTGCTGATGGTATTATTGCTGTCGGGCTACAGTGAGGAAGACATTAGTGGCAATTAAGAATTTTGGTGTTACTTAACCGAGTAAAATCACTTCAGAATCTGCCTATAGTTTTCTTTAAACAGGTGGACAATAATTGAATGTCTAAATTGAACGTCATTCATGCGATGGAAAGATAAATATTGGTCTGTAGATATTCGGTTTTTATCCACACACAGAGAAAAGTTGGAGGAAAATTACGAAATGAGGCAAGTAGTCGTGGAGCGGAATCCATTTCTAGGTTTTTTTTACCCTATGTCGGGGCATAAAGTATGGGATGAATAGTGAATTTTAAATGTGCACGGAGAGACATTCTTTACAAACATTCTAGTGCTATTATTGGAAAAATCACAATCTACCGACTATGAAAAATGCCAGTGCTGTTCAGGTAAAATTTCTGCTCGTTTTTGGTAAAATTTATGGAGATTTCTGGTGATATTTCTGAGAATTTCTGTGAGAATTTTCCGGGACTGGATTTTAGCCAATCACAGCGCAGTATTCGAGGTCGTGATACTCTTTTGCTATCAATTTTTTTAGGAAATTGCACACTAGCTTCTTGAAATTACATCTGATAATTGTATAGTAGCTCTTCATTTATTTCTAACCAATTCGATGTTTTGCTGGAAGAAGCCCTCGAATACTGCGCTCCGCTTGGTCAAAATCCAGTCCCGGAAAATTCTCCGCCAAATACCCCTCGACCTTCAAAATTAATCGCAATATTTTCCTCAACCTTCCCTGCAAACAAACAAAAGTGTCAAGTTTTGCAGAACAATCACTTTTTCCACATACTTTTGAGAGTTCTGAATAGCCCGTCGCTTAAATAGTTGGAATCAACGTTCACCCGGCTAAAAGATTCGATTTAGGCGAAAATCCACTTGCCCGGAAAACCCGAAAATCTCACCTTTTGGCTGGGGCCAAAAAAAACGGTTCCTCAGTTTTCACTTTTTCCACATACTTTTGACAGTTCTGACAAGCCCGGCGCTTAAATAGCTGGAATCAACGTTCACCCGGCTAAAAGATTCGATTTAGGCGAAAATCCACTTGCCCGGAAAACCCGAAAATCTCACCTTTTGGCTGGGGCCAAAAAAAACGGTTCCTCAGTTTTCACTTTTTCCACATACTGTTGAGAGTTCTGAATAGCCCGTCGCTTAAATAGTTAAAATCAACGTTCACCCGGCTAAAAGATTCGATTTAGGCGAAAATCCACCTGCCCCGGAAAACCCGAAAATCTCACCCTTTGGCTGGGGCCAAAAAAACGGTTTCTCAGTTTTCACTTTTTCCACATAGTTTTGACAGTTCTGA